GGCCCTGCACGGGTCAGCGTGTAGGAGGGAGGAGAACGGTAGTCCGTGACCTAGCTGCACGGGGACGTGCAGCCCTGAGGGGGGTGGATTGTGAGATCCTGGTATCCCACATCGGTTACGGAGGGGGGAGTTGCTGGGCTTATAAGTAAGCCTTCAGCCCTTACCTTGCAAGAGGCCTTTTCCCAGGGAACCCCTGGGAGGAACAAACCCTTGAGGGCAGGGGAGGAGAACGGTGTTCCGTGACCCTGTGCCAAAGAGGACAATATCTTGCTGGGTAGTGGGGGGGGTGTTACAAATGGTATCAGAGCCGACCCCTTGGCGGTGCCGAGTGTGGGGCCCTGCACGGGTCAGCGTGTAGGAGGGAGGAGAACGGTAGTCCGTGACCTAGCTGCACGGGGACGTGCAGCCCTGAGGGGGGTGGATTGTGAGATCCTGGTATCCCACATCGGTTACGGAGGGGGGAGTTGCTGGGCTTATAAGTAAGCCTTCAGCCCTTACCTTGTAAGAGGCCTTTTCCCAGGGAACCCCTGGGAGGAACAAACCCTTGAGGGCAGGGGTGGAGAACGGTGTTCCGTGACCCTGTGCCAAAGAGAACAATATCTTGCTGGGTAGTGGGGGGGGTGTTACAAATGGTATCAGAGCCGACCCCTTGGCGGTGCCGAGTGTGGGGCCCTGCACGGGTCGGCGTGTAGGAGGGAGGAGAACGGTAGTCCGTGACCTAGCTGCACGGGGACGTGCAGCCCTGAGGGGGGTGGATTGTGAGATCCTGGTATCCCACATCGGTTACGGAGGGGGGAGTTGCTGGGCTTATAAGTAAGCCTTCAGCCCTTACCTTGCAAGAGGCCTTTTCCCAGGGAACCCCTGGGAGGAACAAACCCTTGAGGGCAGGGGAGGAGAACGGTGTTCCGTGACCCTGTGCCAAAGAGGACAATATCTTGCTGGGTAGTGGGGGGGGTGTTACAAATGGTATCAGAGCCGACCCCTTGGCGGTGCCGAGTGTGGGGCCCTGCACGGGTCAGCGTGTAGGAGGGAGGAGAACGGTAGTCCGTGACCTAGCTGCACGGGGACGTGCAGCCCTGAGGGGGGTGGATTGTGAGATCCTGGTATCCCACATCGGTTACGGAGGGGGGAGTTGCTGGGCTTATAAGTAAGCCTTCAACCCTTACCTTGTAAGAGGCCTTTTCTCAGGGAACCCCTGGGAGGAACAAACCCTTGAGGGCAGGGGAGGAGAACGGTGTTCCGTGACCCTGTGCCAAAGAGGACAATATCTTGCTTGGTAGTGGGGGGGGGGGGGGTGTTACAAGATTTCATTGGGCTGGCCCTGGCCTAATCGATTAAAGATCTTCGTGAGGCCATCACTGATCTCCATAAATTAGCTAAGCATTAACTACTCCAGTTTCAACTTTTTGGTCAATATTCAGATCAATATTAGGGTCCACGTCAATGTCGACATATAATTCTGTCTCTTTTTCTCAACTTAAATTTGAAAAATGTTAAATATAGTAGTGCATACAACTAGCTCAATAGAGAAATTTTCTTAAACCTAAGAAAGGTTTCCTAATTTATGAAAACAAGAAGTTCTTAAATTTATAAATAAACATATATCACTTTTGAAGACAATAATGTCACAGTAGTAACGATATCAAGTTTTGATACATGTACAATAATTTCGTCCGATAATGAATAATTCATAGAATACCAACTTGTACTAGGAATATCTCATACCCAACATATCTAATCAATTTTCACCAGGCCACATCGCTTTAGGAAACACGTATATTGACATATCAATATTGAATGAAATCTTCCTATAAGTAGCATACTAACCCTCAACTTTGAACCTACGTGAACAAATAGTAGTTTAGAACCTCGTAAGGAACCAACACCCGACTATGAGTGGTTGGGGAGTTTCAAATTCCTCAAGCTTGTCTAGTGACTTCCAACCCGCACAAGAGAAGTGGGTGATGAGCCCAGATCCAAAACAGGTTTGGACCTAGTCTATGGGTTAATCCCAAATCATTAAAAAGGTAGGTCAAACTTAGCTCAAAATCTAAGTCCAATCACAAGCTCTAGAGTCCAAGAAGAGTCAACGTACGTGGGAGAGCAATCGTTGGGATAGTCATTACTCTAAGATAGTGTCCCCCATCCCCAATTGTAACTATTCTTCCCGATAAATTAGTAGCTTAACCTTCACTCGCCGCCTCAGTTAAGACATTGTGCCTATAAATTGTAAATTCCTTAAACAGGGATACAAACTTCAACTTGAGTGTACTCCTGCTCTCTCTCTCCTATTACCTTGCACTCATTAATAGAGTTCTCAGCCTACTATTGCCGCCTTTAGCGGTTAGGTCACCCATACTCAATTATCCATTATTTGTCTCTTATTATTATTTGCTTTATTAATTGCTCTGTACCACACATTCGACTGATTTGATCTTACATAGTCAACTTTATACATCATCAGTGGATTTGAGTCCCACTCCGCGAACATGCTTTTCTTTTCCTTGTAAAGTTGTAAGAATTTTTTTTTTTAAAAAAAGAAGGAAATCAGTATTATCCAGTGTCTCCCTTGTGATAAAACATTGAAAATCGTCTTATAGTTTGATGACTTTGCCTCGCCTGATAATGTCCAATTTCCAATTTGCTCTGATAAAAAATTGCAACTTTGCCTGATGTAATATAAGCAATAAAGTCTTCCAATTGGCGGAATGTAAATCACCTTCTTTATTCATTTGTTGGACTTATCGTATGAAGGGTTAGATCACCAACCACTGGAAGGCCTAAGCTTGTCCTGTCCATTTTTTTCCTTTTGAGAAAATCATATATGGTAATGAGGTTGATCATTATGATTATTTGAAATATGAATTTATTTTCCATGGAGACACATTTAATAAAAAAAAAAAAAAGAAGAAGGGAAGAAGTAGGGTGTAGGATAGTGCTTGGAAATAGGCTGTCAAGAGATCAGATTCCAACAAATTGAACAAGTCCAAATCAAATATTAAAAGCCCTATCTACATTGAATTATTTGTATATTCAGCAATTTTTTTGGGCAAGTATATTCGCCAAATTTTATTTTTACACTCGGTATTCAAACCCCTTAAAAATAAAAAAATCGATTTCAATATTCGATCCAAACTGATCAAATCCAACTAACCATTAGACTTGAATTCTAACGGTTTAATTAGTCGTGAATTAAATTCAATTTGATCAAAAAATTGTAAATATATATGATTCGGTTCTGTCATTGATTTATTCAAATATAATTCATTAATAAAACTCATATTCAGTATAGAAAACTTGCAATTCATCTACAATTCTACTTGCACGTAGTAAATAGTGGAAGGGTCGGCCCAATAAAAATTGAGCCCTAAGCGAAAATTATAAATAAAGTCCTTTAAAATTAATAATAAATATATAAGATATATTATTAAAATTTTATTAAAAATTATTGTTCTAGTTTTTTTTTTTTGATGCAAAATTAATAATTAAGTTTCTATATTCAAATTATGTTAATAAATTTTTTTTAGTTGATAACATGACTAACCCATTGCAATTTCTTTAGAATATTGTTAGATGAAATGAAAGAATAATAGCTGATAAATAGAATTTTATATAAACTTTGATTTTTTATTTGTATTTCAAATCGTCTTCTAAGTTTGGTCTTCGTCAATAAGAAGACCAATGAAATTGAATTAAATTATATTATTAAAAATATAAAATTATTAAATAAAAGAAGTTTAATGACATTGCAATCTAACATAGGGGGTAAGATGATCTATATGCATATATTTATTTATGGAGGGAGAGAGCGGTGACAGACTAGCCCTAAGATTTTTTGTTAGTGAAACTAGCAATTAATGTGTGATAGAGAGAGAGACATATACACACATTGGGTATTTTTGGTGGGGTAGGTGTATGCTATTTTTTATTATGTGAAAGTATTTGTTGTCATTAATGAAAAAAGAGAAGTGTTGCCATTAATGAAGAGAGAGAAGTTGCGCCCTCGTTTTTTCATTATGTACTTTGCTATATATGAATCTTATTAATCTTAAATTTTAATGAACCAAATAAAATAACTTGATAAAAACTACAAATAAAGTTAGGACCCCTCTTTTTTGGAGCCCTAGATGGAGGTTTAAGTGTCTTACCCACTAAGCCGGCCATTTCGTCAGCAGGTACCTATTTCTAAATTTTCCTGCACAGCCTATTCTAAGGGAAGAACAAAAGAACAGACAGTCAACCCACATTTTCAAATCTTTGACTTATTTATCATAAACCCACATTTTTCCTTTGTTTTTCCTATCATATCCTTGGCATTTTTATTTATTTATTTATTTTTAGAAAAATTAATGGGTGATGATAGTTCATTCAAAATGTACAATGGTTTATTGAGTATGTACACTACAAAACTCCGTCACTTGTGTCTAATAAACACACCAAATTTTCCTTTTCTCGGACTCCAAACATTTAAAATCCATAGCCGTGGACGAATTCAACCGTAGTGAACCCACGTGTTCTCCTTTTCCAGCAAGAACACAGGGCATAAGAAAGAATCAGCATGCATGACTTCTTCACATATGCCTTGGTCAAACCCGTTAGTCTTAAGCTTCTAATCCCATTCAAAAGCTACAAAGTCAAAGAAGACCAAACAAATATAATTTCTATATAAATACCTCAACCTTATGCACACCTTTTATCAAACACACTTACAAGCTACCAACAAAAGCTAACCAACCAGCAGAGAGACAGAGCCAACAAACCATTCATACTTCATCTGAGATAATCTGCTTTTGGACAGCTTAAGGTCGATTCTTACAAAAACTGTCCTGACTATTTCATTTGAGCAATAATTACGACGATGAATTTCCGGAGAGCAATTACCTTTTTGTTCATTTTCTTCAGTGTTGTTGTCATTACGAACCAAGTTCGTATTGAGGCTACAAGGGTGTTATTTGAGGAATTTGCCGGTGCAAATCACCTTGCGTCTTACCCGTCGATGTATGAACATGCAAAAGAGACCTTGTCCTGCTGGCTTGAGCGGTTGGCATCGGGACCTAGCCCAAGAGGACCTGGTCACTGAATATGGTGCATGGAAGTTTCTGAAAGTTCATGTCAGCCATAAGGGCAAGCATATATTGTAGGTTTTTTTTTTTTTTAATGGATAAATACAACATTCTTTTTTTCTTTCTTTTATTTTTTCGTTACAAAGTGACCATAAGAATCAAGTGCAAATCATGAAATTGAAACTTTGAACATTGGTGTGGTAATAACAAGGGAGAGTTTGGAAAGGAAATTGGGCATGCACCTTGTGTCTTTAGGCAGAAATGTTAAATGAGAACATATTTCAAGTTTTGTACAAGAAACTTCCATTATTCGAAATCAAATTTGACCTGTCATAACAAGGCACAGGATCCAAACTCTCTATTTAAAGTCATGCTACAAACTGTAATGGACGGATTTGCATCCTAAAATTCAAAAGCTGTCAACTGAATCTTGTCATTCCTGACAAACTATAATTTGTACCAGTTTTTCGGCAACTTTAAGGATGTAGAAATGCGGAACTGAAACTTAAACTTTTAGCATGAGTGTGGTGATAGTATGGACTAGTTTGGAAAGGAAATTGGGCATGCACCTTCTGTCTTTTGGCAAAATTGTTAAATGAGAACATATTTCAAGTTTTGTACATGAAACTTTTATTATTCGAAGTCAAATTGGACCTGTGATAGGATGAAGAAATACACAAGGAGGAATCAAATCATGTTTGGATTACAAAAATGAACTTTTTTTAAATGGATATAATTAGGTATTTGTGTAAGATGAATTGTCCTAGAATAAATGAGGCAATATTGTTTAAAATATGATTATAATTAGTTTAAACGATAATTCATTAAGTAAAAAATGGTTATAGTTAGTTTCGGATAGAGGACTACAAATTCAACCTAAGAAATATAAATTACAGTTCATACATATTAAGTGATAGGCAATTTTTTTTTTAAACAACAACGTTTGAATTCAACTTGTATATTAACTTATATTTTAATATCAATCTCACTTTCAACTTTCCATAACACCAACATTTTGAAAGTTCAAAGGCCACATCTTGAAACGGCTACTTCAATGAAACACATTTCAAGAGAAAGCAATGCAAACCCAAAAGAAACTATTTCAAACCAAAATCAAACCAACTTCCAGAACCTAACACTTCTTCTTTGTATTTCATTGTATAAATTCCCATACAATATATACTTGTATCCATTAAATACTCAATTTTCATTGTACTCTTCCACAATGGTGCTAATGAGAATGAAAACTCAGCCCCTTTTTGTCTCTCTAGTCTCTCTCATCTTCTTCCTCTTCCTACATTCAACAGGTATCACCCAGACCCATTTGTAACCAGAACATTGTTATTTAGGCTTTCTGTTTTGCAGTTTGTTACTTTCTTTGACCATTTTGATTTTCTTGGTTTTTGCAGCTGCTGCACCAGTCGGGAGTTTGCTACGGCCGGGTCTCAAACAATCTTCCTCAGCCCTCCGACGTTCTCAACCTCATCAAATCCAACGGAATTACAAGAATTCGCCTCTTCAAGGCTGACCCAGATGCATTAAAACCATTCTCCGGCATCGGAATCCAGCTTATGATCGGTGTCCCCAACGAGGCCCTACCTTCCCTCGCCAACGGCATTGTAAACTAGTCTCTAGAATGGCTTCAGTCCACATCCTTGCCCACATTCCTGCAAATCAAGTCCGGTACATTGCCGTTGGCAACGAAGTCTTCTTAAAAGACTCATTTTACACACCACATGTAGTCCGAGCCACTGGGAACTTATATCAAGCACTTCATATGCTGGGCGTTGCTGACACAATCAAGCTCTCATCCTCCCATGCAGCGACGATATTGTCCAGTTCATACCATCCTTCCTCCGGAGCTTTCGACCACAGTCTCCTGCCGGCCATGGTTCCTCTCATGCAGTTCCTGCGCGACACTGGATCGCTCAACGCCCGTCTCGCAACATTCCCATTGTAATCCAACGCATTCTCAACGCTCGCCGCTTCGCCGCCCACCGTTGGCCAACCTGTCTCCGTCACCACCACCGGAATCCCTTCAAACCCTTCTCTCACCATGGCATACACAAATGCATCAACGGTTGCGTCGAAGATATTGTTGTAAGCCATGTTGTTGTCATGTTTGAGGTTTATTGATCTGAACAAAGCGTAGTCGAGTGAGACATCATGTGGGTTGTTTATGTAGCTGAAATATGGGTACACAGTGATAGACAATTGACTATAGAATAAGACATCAAAAGTGTTTTGCTAGGCGATACCATTTATTGTCTCGATCACATAGACATTGGCTAAGACCAAATTTTTTTTTTTGGTAATTTGGGGTCCTTAAATTCTTATGAGAGCCCCAAATTTTGTAATTTGGCCCGAAACACCTCTAAATCTCTAATACACCTCATATCACATATTTTAAAGTTTTTCGACCTTCTAAATTCAATGATAGTTTTATTTAGACTTAAAATTATATAGAAACTTACCTAACCATTCTTCTCAAGCTTAAATACCCCAAAAACTAAATTAACCCGAAAGTCAATACTCGAAAAATTCATGCTTCATGATCATTCCTTCAACAACGATTCAAACATCTTATGAAAGTACTCTTAAAATTATGTTGCTCATCTTTAAATTTTTTACGAGGTCTTACAACCCAATTATGCTATATTGAGGAAACCAGTTCAGATAAACACCAAGTGCCGTTAGCCATCCAACAACATGTTGCTGCTCAAGTTTAGAATAATCTTCACCAACAATCTGATAAGATCTCCAAGGATAAACAATCACAACAACTTGATAAGGATTCGAAGATTTAGCTCATGTATTTTGTAAATTCAAACTATGTATCTTATCAGATAGTTATTCTACAGTCTGTAAATGTACAAATTCAAACTATGTATCTTATCAGATAGTTATTCTACAGTCTATAAATGTACAATCAGGATGACAATGAAATATATACAGAAAATATATTTTCTCATCATCTTCCTCTGGTTTTCTCATCTATCTCTAAAATTCTTTATGGTATCAGAGCAATTGACTCACGTTACCATGGCCTCAGAACAGTCCTCTCAAACCTCTCCTCAAATTACCAACGCTTCTCGTGCCCCTCCCTTTCCAACTCCATCCTCTATTCATCATCTTGTCATTATAAAACTAACCCGTGACAACTTTATCCTCTGGAAAGCCCAGATTACACCTTATCTCCGTAGCCAGCACCTTTATCACTATGTCGATGGTTCCACTCCATCTCCTCCACAAACTCTTCATACTAAATCTCCTTCAGACTCTAGTAATGCTACTATGGTCAACCCTGCCTTTCTCACATGACTTCAAACAGACCAATTGGTCCTCAGTATTCTCATGTCTTCTCTCTTAGAGCAGATCCTTCCCCATGTTGTTGGTTGCACTACCTCTTGTGCTCTCTGGTGTGCTCTGGATCGCATGTACACCTCTCACTCTTGTGCTAGAACCATTCAAGCTCACCTCAAGCTTGCCACCATCAAGAAAGGTGGTGATTCCATTACTGATTATTTTCAAAAATTACAGGGCTATTATGATGACTTAGTTGCTGCTGGTGAAGCTCTCACAGATTGCCAGCTTATATCCTTCATTCCTGCTGGCTTGGGACCGGAGTATGATCCATTTTTCACTTCTGTTACTACATGGATTGACCCTTTCTCCATTGATGAACTGTTCGGTCATCTCTTAGCTCATGAAAATCGACTTGAGCTCCACCAAGTTTCTACTAACACCGTCTTTCCCAGTGTCCATCTTGCAGCCAAAAACAATACTCGTGGAGGTCCCAACAGATCACCATAACCACAATATTCAAATAATGGTCGCTCCCAACACTTCTCAAACCGTGGAGGCAGGGGTCGTGGACGTGGTGGGCGTCCTCACTACACTGGATCGACCTCTCAGCAACAACCAGTGGGATCTACTATAAATAGGCCCACCTATCAGGTTTGTGGCAAACCTGGTGATCAAGCACTTATCTTGACCTCAGACTTTGCAAATTTCAATCTGCATGCAGAGGAGTACACGGGCAATGAGCACATCAAAGTTGGTAATGGTGAGGCTTTATCCATACATCACATTGACTCTTCAAATCTTTCTACACCCACCTCTCAATTTCTTTTGTGTAATATTCTACTTGTTCCTCACATCTCTAAAAATTTCATCTTTGTTTCTAAATTTGTTCAAGATAATTCTTGCTATTTTGAATTCCATCCTAACTTTTTTTTGCTTAAGGACAAGGTCACCCACAAAATCCTCCATCAAGGACCACTTAAAAATGGGCTCTACTCATTCCACTCACAATCCAAGTCCTCCACTCCTGTTGCTCTTATTGGAGAACCTGTCTCCCTTGATACATGGCATCAACGTTTGGGCCACCCCACTCTTCCACTTGTTCGTAGTATCAGCTCCAAGCATCACCTACCTGTTAGTTCAAATAAATTTGCACTTGTTAGTTCTGCTTGTCAACAGGGCAAGAGTCGTCAACTTCCTTTCAATTTATCATCTACATTCTCTTCTCCTTTAGAGTTAATTTTTTGTGATGTATGGGGACCTTCTCCCACAATTTCTATTAATGGATCTCGTTTTTATGTTTCTTTTCTTGATGCTTTTAGTCGCTTTACTTGGCTTTATCCTATCTCTCACAAATCTAATGTTAAACGTATTTTTCCAATATTCCAAACTCATGTGGAACGCTTGTTTGATTGTAAGGTTAAATCATTTCAAAGTGATTGGGGCGGTGAATTTTGCCGTCTTAATAATTTCTTTAAACAACACGACATCACCCATCGTCTGACTTGTCCACATACCCATCAAGAAAATGGATCCACAGAATGTAAGCATCGTCACATTATTGAGACAGGGCTTGCCCTCATGGCCTATGCATCTGTTCCTCCTCAATATTGGGCGGATGCATTTAAGACTGCATGTTATCTAATAAACCGTAGGCCCACTCCCACCCTTAACAACCAAAGCCCATTTGAGAAACTTTTTCACAAAATTCCTGATTACTCATTTCTAAAAATTTTTGGTTGTGCTTGTTGGCCCCTTCTTCGACCATACAATCGCCATAAAACTAATTACCGCTCCACTCAATGTGTGTTCTTAGGATATAGCCTTACCCACCATGGTCACAAATGTCTTCATCTTGAATTTGAGGGATTCTATATTTCTCGTGATGTTGTCTTCAATGAATCTCTCTTTCAATTTGTTTTCTATACTAACTCTACAGGGACACCATCTCAGTCTCAAACAGACATCTCTCTCCCAGTCTTTCATGGGTCCCCATCTATTCTTGGGTCTCCCTCTAGTCGGCCTATCTCTTCCAGCTCAACCCACACTTCAAATTCAACCCACGAGACTCCTATGGTAAGTCCTTCACCCATCTTGTCACCCAACACTGACCTTTCTCTTGCAGGTTCTACCATACCAACTAAAAATGCGTTGTTGCCCACTACTTCTCCTATTGCACCCGTGGCTCCTCACACTATGGCCACTCGTTCACAGCATGGCATATTCAAGCCCAAACAACATCATGATGATACAGTGCGCTACTCTCTCCCTCGTGCATTGCTCATTGAAGCATCATGTGAAGAGCTCACACCCACCACCTTCACCCAGGCCTCTAAGCATGCCCATTGATGCATTGCCATGAACTCAGAATTTGATGCCCTATTAAAGAATGGCACCTGGTCATTAGTTCCCTACTCTCCAACCATGAACATTGTGGGGAATAAATGGGTTTACCGTATCAAACGGAATTCAAATGGCATTATCAAGTGCTTCAAGGCTCGATTAGTCGCCAAAGTTTTTCATCAGGTTCCTGGCATTGATTTTAATGAGACTTTTAGCCCTGTAGTTAAATCTATAACCATCCGAGTTATTCTATCTATCGCTGTGTCTCGTGGCTGGTCGATGTGTCAGATTGATATTAAAAATGCTTTCTTACACGGGGAGCTCACCGAAGAAGTATACACGGCTCAACCACAAGATTTTTTCACCCCTTTTTGCCAAGCCATGTTTGCAAACTTCACAAAGCTCTTTATGGCCTAAAACAGGTACCATGAGCCTGGTTTGCTAAACTTAGTACATTTCTCACTGCTTTTGGTTTTATATCCTCTAAGGCTGACTCTTCTCTATTCATTCTTCAGCAATCCAATATGATGCTTTTTGTTTTGATTTATGTTGACAACATTATTATCACGAGCTCTGACCCTACTGTAATTGATGAGCTACTCAAACAACTTCAAGTGGATTTTGCTGTCACTGATCTGGGAAGTCTAAATTATTTTCTGGGAATTTAGGCGATGTCATTACCCTCTAGCCTATTTCTTTCTCAACGAAGGTATATACTTGATCTCCTACAACGCACCAACATGGCCACTGCAAAACCTGTTAACACTCCCATGGCTAGTCATACTTCTTTATTTGCTTTTCACGGCACAACACTCTCTGATCCATCTACATACCGCAGTGTTGTTGGGGCTCTCCAATACCTTTCTTTAACAAGGCCACACATCTCCTTTCCAGTTAACAAAGTTTGCCAATTTATGCATCGTCCCACTGAAATCCATCTCAAGGCCACCATCTCTTATGGATTATTACTTCGAAAGACTAG